TTTAACTTTCAAAATGATGTCAAAATTTTGCGGTGAAGAAAAATCCACCAGAGTTTTGAACATAAGATACCATTTTTGTTACCATTAGATAGCAGGCCATAGAAAAGTGTGGTTGACTTGACCATTAAACTATCAATTATCATTATAGAATAATGTTAACCTGCATGGGCAATGAGTCTGGCTCCAACAAGTTCCCCGACGAGTACAGTCAAGTTTGGAGCAATAGCTGTCATACGATTCTTGAGGTAATCATAAAGCTGAGCACGGTAATCAGTGATTTCAATCACCTAAAATAAATTTAAAGCATATAATTATATCTTCTCAAACAAGCAATAAAATCAATAATGAGAGCTGAGAAATAGACAATAGAAACGGATCAGGTTCAGTAGAATAAATACCTGATCACATAGATAGATGATGTTATTTATGTCTTCTTCAGAAATCTGAAAAGGCAAGAAAANTGTATTTTGAAACTTGCAGTTGTGCATGTACCCTCATCGGTTCATTGAGAAATTCTGACGCTCTTAAGTTGCATGTCGATCAGTTTCCTTTCTTTAGTGTTCTACAGAATTAAATTATCCCCTAATATTTCTAAAATCTTCTGCGAAACATTAGAGAAACCGGAAAATGTTGCCATTATATCGACCACCTTCAGCCACTGCACTTTAATGGCTGATGGTATCTGAGTAGCTCAGCCAATCAGATCACAGCATTTGCATTAGTATACTAGTACAATTCTACTAATTTCAATTAGCAGACAGACAGCCCACATGCACCACTTGCACTGTATCTGTGGCATGTTCAGAGTCCATTCAGCTACTTGTTTGAATAACAAGTTTGACAACCTCCACAAACAGATTATTACAGCATTTTACCATTCTGAAGTAAAGACAACAACAAATTACTTACTAATTTCTAACCAGCAGTTTTCAAATTCAGTGACAAAGAGATTCTCCTACCCATAGTTTTGACAGTCTTGGCATAAGCTAAGTTGTCAGTGACTATCTTGCCCAGCTCAGGAAAATGCCAGCCATACCACTCACGGCAGCGCATGATGTAGTTATTGAGTTCTTTGTCCAAGTCATCAAGTAAAGATATTGCCTGAACAATCATGGTATCCACTTTATCAGGACTGAACTTGAGTTTATAACGTGACAAGCTGAAAAAAAATAATTAAACGCATTTTGCCAGTCAACAATTTTCCCTACGGAATATCATGGCTTACATGTGATATGTTATGTATTATGTGTTATGTGTT